GCTTGGTGACAAGTATGGTGCGACCTTGGATTCTTAAAAGAAGAATGCAAGACAGTGGACGACACGCTGTGTAACAATAGACGCCGTTTCGCCCTGATGATCAAGATCCAGGTGCCTACAATAGGTCATCGCGGGCCCTCGGCGGAAGTACCCAAACGCTAGGCGAGATGAGAAGGGATGGTTTCCTTCCGTGACTTCAGTGCATCCGACCTAACTCCCGTCACCGGATAAGGTCTCGGGTCCGGGTAGTGATGAATGCCCGTGAGGTAGACATTTTCTGAGGTTTCCTACCCGTGAAGGTGAAGGGGGAGAACTTGAAAGCTCTGCACTGAAATTGTCTGAATCGGAATTGAATGCTTAATCAAGACGGGTTTGATGGGTAACATGTAGTTGGATGTGAATGATATAGAAGGAGGTGCAAACAGGAAGCTATCCCAAGGTCACGTGTGGGACCAGGTTCCCAAAGTGCCGGCCGGCGCCTGCACTGTGCGCCTCAGCTTTGCAGGGATAGAGTGAGGCGCGTCTCCCAAAATCTTTTGGAAGCTTCAACCAAGCCCGTCCAACGCCAATCAACCCCCATCGAAGCCCGCGAATTCATTGCGACCACAACGCCATTCCCGAACGCTCCGCTACACCAATTTCAGACGAAAGCCTTGATACGCGAATAATTGACCCCCGGCAACCGACGCCCCCGCCGCGACGATGGTCCAGATCAGTGAGGTTAAGGGAAACAGTCGCGAGAACCGCACTGCTGCCCACACCCACATTAAGGGCCTAGGATTGAAGCAAGATGGCACGGCAGAGAAGCAAGCGTCTGGTTTCGTCGGCCAAACCACAGCAAGAGAGGTCAGCGGCATCCCTCGTGGTTGCGCAGCGTAATTACTGACAGATCTGCCGAAATTTAGGCATGCGGTATCGTAGTCGATCTCATTCGCGCTCACAAGATGGCCGGTCGCGGTGTTCTGCTCGCCGGTGGACCTGGGACAGGAAAGACGGCCCTTGCGCTTGCCATCAGCCAAGAGCTTGGAACCAAGATCCCCTTCTGCCCGATTGTTGGCAGCGAAATCTACTCGACAGAAGTAAAGAAGACCGAGGTATTGATGGAGAACTTCCGCCGCGCAATCGGCCTGAAGGTCCGAGAAACGAAGGAGGTCTACGAGGGCGAGGTGACAGAGCTCACTCCCGAGGAGGCTGAGAACCCTCTGGGCGGATACGGCAAGACCATCAGCACACTCCTGATCGGCCTGAAGAGCGCGAAGGGGCAGAAGAAGCTGCGGTTGGACCCGAGCATATACGAGGCCATCCAGAAGGAGAGAGTTTCGGTGGGAGATGTCATCTATATTGAGGCGAACACTGGTGCCTGCAAGCGCGTGGGAAGATCAGATGCCTATGCGACCGAGTTTGATCTGGAGGCCGAGGAGTACGTGCCCATCCCGAAGGGTGAGGTGCACAAGAAGAAGGAGATCGTGCAGGACGTTACTCTTCATGACCTCGACGTCGCCAACGCTCGGCCCCAAGGTGGTCAAGATATTATGAGCATGATGGGACAGCTGATGAAGCCCAAGATGACCGAGATCACGGACAAGCTGCGCGGCGAGATCAACAAGGTGGTGAGTAAGTACATCGACCAGGGCGTTGCAGAGCTTGTCCCTGGCGTGCTTTTCATCGATGAGGTAAGCGGAACTTTCATGTCCTGTCTGACGCGAACTGAGACCGGTGGATTAATCTTCAACAACAGGCGCACATGCTCGATGTCGAGTGTTTCACGTACCTGAACCGGGCCCTGGAATCGAACATCTCCCCGATTGTCGTGCTGGCATCCAACAGAGGAATGGCCACCCTTCGCGGTACGGACGACATCGTCGCGGCGCACGGCATCCCTACCGACTTTTTGACTCGTCTTCTCATCGTTCCCACGACGCCCTACCAGCTGGACGAGATCAAGCGGATTGTTCGCATCAGAGCCACGACCGAGGGTGTGCCTATCACCGATGCCGCCCTGGACAAGATTGCGGAACACGGCGTTCGCATCAGCCTGCGGTACTGCCTGCAACTGCTGACACCCGCCAGGTAAGTGAAGAAATGATCGGTTTCTTGTTCCTGCTGCTGGCTTCCCACCGCTTTCTCTTACTCATCCCCATGCGGTTTCCCCTCTCTCTTGAATCGTGGATCGACCGGCTAGTGTGAGACATCCGGGCTAACCCCAATGAAAGCATTCTTTCCAAGGCAAACGGCCGCAGCCAAATCGATGTCCAGGACGTGGCTGAGTGCGAGGACCTCTTCCTGGACTCGCGGCGCAGCGCCAGCCTTCTGAGCAGCGAAAACGGACGAGGTTACATCTCGTGAGAGGAGTCAACAGAGGCATGCTTGTTCGGTAGGATAGAGAGTGAGAGGTCACGGTCCCCCGTTTAGTTTCTCGGATGAAGGATGGCGACGGCGTTGTAAAAGAACTTGTCACATTATCGAAGACCAGAACAGGTAATTCACGGCGTTTTATTTGCTGTGATAATTTACGATGATGATATTCCGTGGGAGATACCGGTCAGTTGTCTCAGTCGGGTCCGTGAGAACCAAGTTGTGTTGTTGAGTTTCCAAGGGGCGAGCAAACGAATGCCGGGTGACATGTCCTCTGGGCCACGAGCGACGAGTGATTTCCCGTTGGTTCCCATTTCCTTGTCTCGAGTTGGCCCAGACCCCCCGAGAAGCGAAAGTGGGTGGGCGAGAGAGAGCAACGCTGTTTGCAAAACAAAAGCCCAGATGAGGAAAAAAAGTAGGGCCGCCCTCCCGATTATAAGACATTCGCAGGCCGCGAACCAGAAAAACAATACCTAACGAGAGACATCCACGCACCGCCCGATGCCGATGCCGCCTTTACCCTAACCAGAGGCAATTGGCAATGGGGGGACTTGTAGGTAGCCAGCCCTTCACCGCGTCTTCAGTCTCCCGTTCTGAACCCTGGTCCCACATCTCATCCCAGGGTACTCTGGCGCTCATCATCAGAGACATCACCAACGCCAAACGCATTGTGTCCTTGCCGATCAAATTTTAAAAACATTTCCAAGAAGACAGGAAGAAGAACCCACTGGAACGAAGAATTATGGTAAACGCCTGGGGGGGGTTCTCGCCTTCTTCCCTTCCATCACGTGGGAGCTGATGTTTCTCCCAGCCTAGACCACTTTCGGCCAGGGGTGGTTGTGTTGGTTCGACGTACATCCCATTGTCTTTGTTCTTTTGGTGGGAGCGCGGGTTTTGATTGAACATTCCAACCGACCTACTTGCATTCATTCCCCTTCTTTCACTTATTCTTTCCCTTGCACTGTTCTCCGCCTGGCCCTGGCACACCACACCCATACCACACCACCACCGCGGACAAGCAAGGTCATTGTTTTTGACGTCTCACAGGGCCATCGGTCTGCAGTCGGTATGCATGCTTTCCTTTGAGGAGAGGCTGGCTGAGGGGATCTCGGCGCCGTTAGGTGAGGAAAAGCAGGGGGCGAAGGAGGAAAAGAAGGTAGCCGCGCTCGCCGCGGTAGATGTTGCAGTAGTACCATCACTTAGTAGTTCGCCGACCCAGAAACATCGTCTGGTAGGGGACCAGACAGAGAGAGAGAGGAGGAGGAGGAGGAGGGCGTACGTGCGGTGTTGCCAAGCCTTTTCTGAATTGCAGACGACATGAAAGGATGAAATTCTTAAAATAACACCCAAGAATAAGGCTGCTTTGAGTGCTGCATCTCCCTCGTCTGTATCTCTCGACTGTATAGTTTTCCCATTCTCGACCTTTAAGCATGACCTGGACAGGGTAGTAGGGACGGGGGGTAAGAATTCTTCAAAGCCCGTGGCCTTGCGCGCGGTGTGTCGCTCTGGTCACCCAACATCTCATTATCCATCTTTCCTCGCCTCGTCGCCGCTGCCGCCGCGTCTTTCTCTCCGCCTTCTTGTCCTCCGCTCTGCAACTTCGGACTTGGACCCGAAGGGAACCTATCATTTTGTTCTCCGGGGTCGCAAGAAAGGGGCCAAAACGCATCTGCTCATCTGCTTTTTCCCAGTTGCGAACAGAAAGCACTGGTGGACAGAGTGAGTTGAGTCGTCCCGGCCACGGAACAAACGCTTCCTCACAAAGGAGCTCTACCCTCATCTGCAACAGCTTGGGTGCCGGCACATTCCCGAGACATTTCCCCAAAGCCATCGTTTTCCTCTCTCGTCCGTTCGTACGCTGTCTGTTCTGTTTCTTCATTCTGTTCGCTCCTCTCGAAACCTGCTGCTCCCTCCCTCCACTTCTCTTGCTGCTGCAGCTGCTCCTTGCCGCGCCTTCTCCGTTGTCGTTGCTGTTCGTCGTCACCGCCGCCGCCGCAACAACAACGTACCGCCCTGCCCTCACCCCCAATGTCCTTTCTGCTCCATAATGGCAACCGTCATCTTTGAACATAAGGTCATTGAGTTGGACGGTCATTGTCTGCCCCGTCTCTGCTGAATAGGTAGCCGCCATCTCGAAACCACAAAGAAGACGTACAGAACGGAGCGAACAATCGTCTCGACGAGGGGAGAGTAAGAGAGGGAATCTCGGCTGTCTTGTCTCGTTCCAGTTCCCCGATATACCTCTCCATTTGTCTCTCTCACGTCCTTCCAAATACTTACTGCCATTCTTCTTCGCTCAAGCTCCCACACACCACCTGTCCCGCCATCTCTTCCAAACCAAACCAAACCCTGGCATCCCGTCGTGTTTCTCACCGTATACAACATACACGCCCCCCCGTCTGTCGCTGCTATCCTTCTCCAAACGCCCCTCTCCGAAGCATGGTGTAAGTCCAAACGTCGCAGAGCCAAGCCAACAAGCCGAACCGACCGCCATCTACCACCTGTCACCGTTTCCACCACCACCACCCTCACACCCGTTTGCACCTCCTCCCAACCTTCCAGATCCCAAGATGACAGATGTGATTTCTACTCCCAGACCGCGGCGGTCAACCTCTTCTTCTGGGGGCAACTCTGCCCAGTCAACCATGGAGCGCAGAGCAAGCCAGGGGACAGACGAAGGACCTGACTCTGTAGGCTCAGCTGGTAGTCGAGCTAGCAGGAAACGCGCTGCTTCTATCGACGTTGAGGAAGCAAACAACAGCTCGAGGGCGAGAGAGTACAGCTTGGAGACAGGACCGATGGGCGGCGAGGGCAGCAAAGACTACATTTGTCTATGCACGCCCGCTCTGAAAGTTCCAAGACCACGCAACGGTAAGTTCGACACCCGCTTCCTTTGGTTCATCCTTCGCCAGAATATGCCGATGCTCTCTGTTGCAGACGCATTATGAGACGAGAAACTCGGCAGGCGGTCTTTGTTGTTTGATTCAAATCGGCAGCTGGACACTTGTGCAACGCCTGTTGGCTAACGCTGCTGTTCTTTGATAGCCTTCATCTTATACAGACAGCACCACCAGGCCCAGGTCATCGCGCAACACCCAGGACTCTCCAATCCAGAGATATCCAAGATCATTGGCGAGCAGTGGAGGATACAACCCGAAGACGTCAAGGATAGCTGGAAGAAGCTCGCAGAAGAAGAGAAAATACGACATCAACGACAATATCCCGACTACCGATACCAACCAAGACGCGGTGGACGACCGGGAAGCCGGTCGGGCCCATCCTCTGGAGGAGACACGGGACGTTGCCCCAAGTGCGGAGGCAGATTCATCGCCACGCCCAGAACGCCTTCAACACCGTTTATTACACCGACTGCAGCAAAATCGAGCATGCCTCCTCACCATCCGAGAGATTTGCGGGGCGGCGGCGGCGACAGCGAGCAGCTCCGCCATGCTTTGCGTGGCGGTAAACAACCCATGCAATACCAATACGGCAACTTGCGAGACGTCGACGAAGAGTATGAGGCGACCTCGCCATCGCCGGAGCTCAAGCGGCGCCGCTTCAACGCCATGGGCCACTACCAAGCCGTCTCGTCACCGGGTCCGTACACCGGGCACCCTCTATCGAGACAGCCCCGATCGTCGCTGAGCATGCCGGGAACACCGCCTGTGCCGGGTTACGGACCCTTGCCTGGCCCTTCTGCACTCGCGAGGTCTGGCCACGGCACCATGGCGCCTCCTCCGCGCCCGCATCACCCTGGATACGCAGGACCGAACCGCGGCTCTGCCTTTGACGAAAGCCTTCGTCTGCCGCCTTTGCAGACCCAGAACTCCCCGCCGCTTGGCAGAGATGGCGACACGAACGACCGCCCAAGCGCACACCCGGCCGCTGGTTTGGGCATTGCAAACTCGCGAGACGCCTGGGCGCAGAGTATCGAAGCCATGATTATGACGATACCTTTCCTGAGCAAGCTGAAGGTGCTGCAAAAGATCAGCCCGACTCTGGCACCGCCAGGCCCTACCAGCCCTGACATCGAGACCCGTGGCGCAGTCCTTGCCGTTGAAGGGGCTGATCCCCGGCAGCTGGAGCAGGTCGGCACAGCCATCCACCGATCTCTGTTGGGCCTGACGGAGATTGACCTGAAGATCTGGAGCGAGGCACCCACCACACCTATCTCAGTCATGTCTGCTGAAGAAGACACCAAGATGAACGACACCGCTTCCGTCTCCAGCAGCAGAAAGAGCAGCCATTCACAGCCGAGTCTCCAGGCATCGGAGCTGTTCTCCAACTACATGCAGACCATGGTGAGGTGGCACGAGAAGTCGAGGGAGATCGTCAAGCACGTCACCACCAAGCCAGCCTTCGGACTTGATGATCATCCGCCGAGCAGAAGAGCGTCGGAGGGAGAGGTGCTGGTCGGCTCGAGGCACAACTCGATCTCGTTGCCAGCCAAGACACCTATTGCGTTGCTCCCTATGGGTTTTAGTTTGACCATCTCGGACAAGTACGCTTGTATGATACCCATTTCCGACTCGTACGCCCCTGTCGACCATTGGCAATGGATGTCAACCCTTTGGAGAGGTGTCATTGGCCCCGACCTCGTCATTTATGTCAAGACTGCAGCGGAGGACGAAGTTGTCCGAGGAGGTGCCGTGGAGTTCAGAGGTCCCGGTGTAATTGTGGTCAGGATTGCGCACGGCAAATCACTAGACGAGAAGGCTGAGCGGCGCATTTGTTTCGAGGTGATCGAGTGGATCCGGGGCGCCAGTTTCCAGGAGGGATTTGGCCGAGGTTGACAACGGCGAAAAAAGCGAATTTAATGATTTGATATCCTTATGTTTTGGCGATTTGGTCAGAGTTGATAGTCGGGTTGAGACCGTTTCTTGTCTTATTTCTCGACATAGCGTAGGCGTAGATAGGAAAATAACGAGCCGTCATGATCGAATGAGTCTTGCGAAGGGTCCGTTTGCAATCACGAGAAGTCGACATTGCGGGAGGATGTTGATTCGCATGTAAAGTGAAAATCAATCGAACTGGAGGGCAGGATTGCAGCATTGCGAGCCAAGGGCATGATTCGCACAGAGGTTCGCGCTGATATGCAAGCTCAGAGGCGCCAATGTGCCATGTCAGGGCAAGTAAGACAATGTCTCTGTCTGAATCTTTGAAGGCCGTTTGCTGCTTTGTTGTGTTGGCTGTTAGTGCTGTTTTTTGCATTGTCTGCACTGCGGAGCTCTCTCATTGACTTGTGCTTGTTGTGCAATGCTGTTTTATGCTAAGTAGGATGTCCATATGGGCGTGATATCGCACTGTATGGACCCTGAGTTGCAAGGCAAGGCAGACGCACAGGCCAATCAGGCACAAGTTTGAATTGACATACATCACCCCAGCATAGCTCCAATTGCCCCTGCAGCTGGCGCCGCAGCAAGCTCCGGGCTGGTCTCAGCGCGTTTATTCTACTGGACGCGCATCCAATGCCCCCTAGAATGACATCTAAACACAACGTCAACATCCACACCACATCACGGGGAGCTTCTCCATAGGCCCGCACCCAACGACAACACAACATCGAATATGCTTATATCTTAACGAAGGGCGCTTGCAACAATGTCGGACCTAGGAGTTGGACAGACGGTGCGTCTGTCAGATGGTCGGACCGGCATCGTGCGCTTCGTCGGCACTACCCACTTCGCTAGCGGTGATTGGGTCGGCATCGAGCTCGAGGACGACAGCGGGAAGAACGATGGAAGCGTTCAGGGCGAACGGTATTTTGATTGTGGAATGGGCCATGGCATGTTCGTGCGGCCCACGACGTTGGCCATCATCGCCCAGGCCCCGGCGACTGCGAAGCCCGCAGCTCGCAGGCCTAGCCGGCCGAGCAGCTTCAATCCTGGCACCGGGCGGGCGGCGACGGATTCGGGATTGACTAAGAGGATGAGCCTGAACGCGCCGAGTCCGAGCCCGGGACCTAAGGGGTCTCGGCCGTCTTCGGGTATGCCCAGGGTAAGTGTCCGTCCCGTTGTATCGGCTTAGATCAAGGGACAGATGATTGACATGAAGCGACCAGTCTCCGACCAAGTCACCAACAAAACAGCTCGGATCAGCTACTTCGAGTGGCGCGCCATCACGGACTACTACCCCGTCAAACACTCGCACCTCGGCTGTGGGAACAAAGACGACGCGGCCAGGCGCATCAAGCACGCGAACGTCCATGGGCCCTCCGCCGATACCTACCACGCGGACGCGGCAGCCGTCGACTTCTTCAGTATCGGGGAGGTCAACCGCCACAAGGCCAACCAGCGGCCGGCTCTCCATGACTGGGAGAACAGCCTCTTCTACCAGACGACCATCGGCAGACATGGGAGGTGGAAAGTCCACCGAGAGTGGGGATGATGCTACATCGCCATCCAAGGATATCGGCGACAACAGCCCCGTCCAAGCAAGGACAAAAGCCCTCGAGAAGCTGACATCAGGGTCAGCCGGCCCTTCAAGTACATCCGCAAGACCAGCGGCGACAACTACCGCCCGTTCTACAATAAACGCAGCCGCTGCCAACAAGGAAATCGAGGACCTCAAGGCCAAGTTGAAGGTCCTTGAACGAAAGAGATTAGAGGACAGGGAAAAACTGAAACAGCTGGACCAAGTCCAAGGCGAGAGGGATAGATTCGAGTCCATCATTCAAAAGCTGCAAGCCAAGTATCAACCGCAGCAGAACGAGAACAATGAGCTGCGCAAACAGTTGAAGGAGGCGGAGACTAGGTTCGAGTCCATCGAGAACATCCAGATGGAGCACGAGACGGCTTTGGAGCTGGCAACACTGGATCGAGAGATGGCCGAGGAGACGGCAGAGGTTCTTAAGGTCGAGCTCGAAGCTTTGAAGCAAAAGTCGGAAGAACTGGAGCTCGAGGTGGAAATTCTCCGCGAGGAGAACGCAGAGTTCGGACAGGGCATGTCATCGGAAGAGCGTGCCAGCACTGGCTGGTTGCAAATGGAGAGAACCAACGAGCGCCTTCGTGAGGCTCTTCTGCGACTTCGAGACTTGACGCAACAACAAGAGGAGGAGCTCAAGGACCAGATTAAGACCCTGGAGAGCGACTTGCAAGACTACACCGCTGTGCAAGAGCAATTTGAAGCAGCCAAGGAGAAGCTTGCCCAGTCTGAGGCGGCTGTCGAGGATCTCCGCCAGCAACTGGACACGGCGCTCGGCGCCGAAGACATGATCGAGGATCTGACCGAGCGCAACATGAGTATGTCTGAGCAGATCGAAGAGCTCAAGGCCGTGATCGAGGATCTCGAGAATCTTAAGGAGGTCAACGACGAGCTTGAAATCAATCACGTGCAAAACGAGAAGGAGATGCAGGAGGAACTCGACTTCAAGGACAGTGTCATTGCTGAGCAGGCTCGACGGGCAGGCGAGCAGGAGGAGGCCTTGGAGGATATGGAATATACTCTGTCCCGCTTCCGAGGTCTTGTAACCAGCCTTCAAAGCGATCTTGAGGACATGCGTGCATCGCACGCAGTGACTGAGACAGAGTCTGAACAGCTCAACAGCAAGTCCCGTGCTATGATGGACTTGAACATGAAGCTTCAGATATCTGCTTCCAAGGCCCAAGTCAAGACAATCGACCTGGAGCTGCGCAGGCTGGAGGCTCAGGAAGCTGAGCAGCATCTCGAGATCGTCAAGCTCTTCCTTCCCGATACCTACAAGGAGGACCAAGACTCTGTTCTCGCCCTGCTGCGCTTCAAGAGACTGGCTTTCAAGGCCGAGCTTCTGCAGGGCTTCATCAAGGAGCGTGTCAACGGTCAAACCCACCCCGGCCACGAAGACGACATCTTTGCTGCATGCGACGCCATTGACAAGCTCACATGGGTTGCCTCCATGTGCGAGCGCTTCACCAATGCCATCAGCCACTGCTCCATCGAGCAGTTCCAGCGATATCAGAATGCCTTGTTCGAGCTGGAGCCTGTGGAGCGTGCTCTCAATGGATGGATCGACGGTCTCCGCCGAGATGAGCTCAAGGAGAAGAAGTGCGCGGATGAACTCCAGCGCACCATTGCACTCATGTCGCATCTCGCCGAGGTCCATCTCACGAATGACTTGCCCGACTTTGCTGAGGATACGTACATGCAGACTCTGGTGATGCAGAGCCACCTCGACTCTGCCGCTACCACTTTCGCTACTTTGCGCGCTATGATCGAACGAGTTGTGCCCGCGGAGTCTGATGAGGACGAGATGGCGCAGCACTTTAATAAGAAGGCCGAGCTGGTCGTCACCCAGACCCGCAGCGCCAAGGTTATTGCTGGCAAGGCTGTCAGAGCTCTCCAGGACCTCAAGGCCAGGTCTCTGGCGCTGCCGCATGAGACCAAGGAGTCGTTTGAGCAGTGCTTAGATGCCACCCGCCAACTTGCTGCCTTGGCTCGCGAGATTGGTCTCGATCTTCACCTTCTTCTGCATGAGGAGGGCCGCAGTGAGCCATACACGCACCGCGAGATCCAAGATACAATTGCCAAGGCCACCGTTAAGGTCGCTATGTCGAGCGAGTCCGATCTGTTCTCCACCTACTTGTCTAGACTTCGCACCCTTACAAGTCAAATATCTGACTTGGCTGCACTCAGCACGGACTTGTCGCAGACTCAGGAGTTCGACGTCACTCCCGCGCCATGGAAGCTCCGGTCCCTGGAGCTCAAGGCCATCAAGACGATCCCCGTCGACGCTGAGGAGGAAATGCGCCGCCTTAAGGAGGAGCACAATGAGGCCCGCAGGGCTATTGCGCAGCGCGAGGAGACCCTCAGCACGGCGAACCTCAAGATCGAGACCCTCGAGTCGCGTATGAAGGATGCTAATGCCAAAGCCTCTCGTATCGAGGATCTCGAGGCCCAAATCGAGGCCGCCAAGCAAAAGGCCGCCAGTCTTGCGGAGGACATTGACAAGCAGGATCGCGAGCTTAAGACTTTGGAGACGGACCGCGACAAATGGAAGAAGATTGCTGGCGACAGCAAGGCCTTCGCGGACGGTGCCGGTGCGGCGGGTGCCAAGGCTGGACAGGAGCGTGCCGTCGCCACGGCTCGGGAGATGGACGCTCTCAAGAGCGACATTGCAAGCCTGCAAGCCGCCGTGCGCTATCTTCGCGAGGACAACAGACGTGCCAGGACGACAGAGCAGCATAACTACGATTGGCTGGCCGAGCCACTCACAAAGGCCCCATCGGTCGTCGAGCAGCGTCGTGCTTTGGTCATGGCCGAGGGCAAGGACGTGCTCAGCGAACTAGTCAAGTTCACAACATCTGCAAAGGTGTACGATCTGGGCACTTTGCCAGAAGACAAGCTGGCTTGGAAGCCGGCGCGCAGTACCCCGCAGTACCATGCGGCTAAGCAGAAGGAGGACCTCGCGGCGTGGAAGAGCTGGCGGGACTCGGTGCTGAAGAAGTCGGAGGTGGTACTGGGCCGCAAGGATGCCGCGGCGGAGAAGAAGCAAATGATGAGAAGCGTGGCGGCGAGGCTGCAGATTCGTCTGCCGGACGTGGACGGCAAGATGGTGCCCGGCGGCGGGCGAGATGTGCAGATTGTTGGATCACGCGAGTGGGAAGGATTGCAGGGCCGCCTGGCGGCAGTATGATTATCATGCAATGATGCTCGGTGGTAGTAGGACCAGTGGCTAGATATACCCCCCCATCCTTATGCTCAGCATCTATCTCTTTTTCCACACGCTTTGTACGATGTTTTTGTCGGTGAAATGTATGTGTCCCCGTCCGTGATATCGTCATGATTCGTGGTCCCGGTTTATCCTTATGATATGCATGTCTAGAAAAATGGCACCTTTTTTTTTGTCCGAATCTCTCTCTGTCTCTCTCTCTCTCGCTCGAAGATCTTGGGGGCGGCCCCTATCAAGCTTTGCCCTTGCCCTTCTTCTTCTTCGAAGCCTTCTCCTCCGCACCACTGCCACCACCACCACCCGCGGCCTGTCCCATCAACGCCGCCATCGGGTCTCCTCCGCCCTGCATCTCCTTCATCATGTCCTTGAACAGGTTCTCGCTGACGCCGCCGCCCGTCATGGCGGGGCTGAAGTACGGCAACAGGTCGCCCATCTTCCAGCCGCGGGGGACGGCCGGCTTGGGCCACGGCTTGCCCGGGTCGGGCGCGGGGGCGCCCTGCACGCGGGCCTTGAGCGCGGCGCTGTTCTCCGTCGTGGGGTTCTCCTTCAGGTGCTTCGCGACGAGGATGTAGAGGTGGTGCTTGTTCTTAATGTCGGGCATGCCGGGCGGCTTCGCGTTGGGCGACGCCTTGCCGCCGTCCTTGCCGCGCCCGGCCTCCCCGCCGAAGCGTATCCTGATCTTGACGCGGCCCGGGTTCGCCCAGTCCTTGGGGTGGAACTTTGCCGGCTCGAAGAGCGTCGGCAGGCGCAGCGCCGCGCACGCGTTGACGATCTCGCGGGCGATGGGGTTCATGACGGCCAGCTCGCGAGGCACGCGGCGGCCCTCGACACGGGTGCGGCGCGCGTCAAAGTAGATCGGGTACAGGCACTGGAAGTCGGCGTACTGCTTCGGGTCATTGGTCGTCTGGAACTCGGACGACCCTGCGCCGGCGCGCGGGGCGGCGTTGGCCGCCGACGGGATGTTGGCGGGGTTGATGCGCGAGGCGGCGGCGGCTGCTGCTTGGGCGGCCGAGGTGGAGGAGGACTTGGGTTCGACCCGTCGCATAATGTCCATGTCGTTGAACTCTTCAATGTCGCCCTCGGAAGGGTCCGAGTTCTCGAGGTCGCTGTCCTCCACCTCTTCTACCCGTGGGTGTGACATTTTGTTGGAGTATTAATCTGGTAATGGAGTGCGTGTGGCTTGGCTTTGCGATGCAGTCGTGTGCCTCTTGACGGGGGGCGGGCGTCGTTGTCGTCGTCGTGGGGTGTTGGTGGTGTATTGTTGAATCTGGGAGGTGAGGATACAGTTGTCGATTGGGAAAGCGGCTCTACTAGTCCCCTCTGGGATTTTGCATGGCAAACGTGTGTGGGGTTGGGAAACGACGGTTCGCCGTGGTGGGGGAAAATGACACTGCGGGGCCCACCGTGGCGGCCAGGGTTCACCTCAAGAGCTGGACGTGCGTGCTAAAGCGGGACAGCTTGTCGGAACGTCATCTCATGACGATGTTCAACAACGGCTTCACCCCAAAACATGGGATGGGAGCGTCACAAAGAGCAACGGTTTCAGGAAATAATATTGAATTAGCCGCAAGAAGAGGAATGTTCCGACATTTTGCCAGTTGTTCGTCCATCTACGAACACATACTACACCCCAGCTGTCTATCTATCCCGATTGCGTCCTATGTGCAACCAGACCAGAGCATAAATCTGCATCTCCCCAAGTAAATTGTCCTTCCTCCTCGAGAACGATCTTTCGGTTTCTAGTTCTCGTGGATCTTGGCATTCTTGAATTTCGTACCAGGGGGGTGGTCAGTAATGCGGAACTTGCAAAATGGATGGGTGCAAGTGTTGCCGACCACGCTGGGGCACTGAGGAATAGTGAGCAATGGACTCTTCCAAGAAGAAAAACACAGGATACAACTTACGTGATGTCCATAAATGCAGTTTTCGACGTCGCACTCCTGACCACTGGTGCAGGGGTTCAGACGGGTCAAATAAGCAATGGCATTGATTTCGTCTGCGTTAGGACGATACTTGTGCTCAAAGCAGCATTCGTCACCCTTGGCGCAGGGTCCACGGAGGTAGTGGTTGTTGCATAGCTTTGCGGCCCCAGTCCGTTTCTTGATGTTCTCCAGAGCTGACTGGTTAATGGGGATCGGGGGATCAATCCCGCGCTCGCCAGGATTCCATGTTGGAGTGTGCGGTTTCGGCTGAGAGGCCGTCCGAATTGGGATGTTGACGTTTTTGTTGGCTAACGGAGTTGTGATTTGAGGAGGTGGACTCGCTTTGGTGACGCCGGCCCAGGAAGAAGAGGAGGGCGTAGTGGCGGAGGCTGGCGAAGAAACTGCAAGAGTTGGCGACGTGGTCGTCGGTTTGAAGTAGGTGGATTCAGCCGAGCGATCGCCACTTCGGTCAACAAGTTTTTGGCTTCGGAAAAGGCTGGGGAGAGGGTCCAGAATGTGGACATTGGTATTTTTCAGCTCTCTGACCGTTGCAAAGCCCTCAATAAGGCTCACTCTCGCGCGGGTATCCGCATCCTGAAGGATCTCGTCAAGAAACGGAGCGTATCCTGCGTCGTGGGAGATGCCTAGCAAAATCTGTCTGCAATTGTAGTTTCTCAAATGCCATCGCGTAGCCTCTGCACAGGGTAATCGAGTCAGCAAATGGCCAAGCACAACGAGGCTGCCCAACAGGGGCTGATATCTTGGGTCGCGTGACCTGCCGAATAACCATCCCAGAGTCGGCAGCATCGCGGGAAACGTACCTTTGATTTTCGAGTCGGCACGTTCCTTACCGTGACCGACGTCTATGAAATCAAATGAAGCTTTAGCTTGTGTAAAGCCTAACGAAAACTCCTTGAGTTCGGACTCGCTATCCAAGCAGCCGTCACGGCGCATGGCTCTTGCGAGGCCCGACATGTTTGCGCAAACTTTGGCAATAATCTCAACTTCGCCGGATTGGCTGCCAACGTATTCGGCGACGGCGGATCGAAGGGCGTAGGCCGCTTGCTTGCCACCCTCGATACCCTGCTTGATGTATGTTTCTTGGAACTGAATGGCTCGAGTCAGCGTTTGATCAAAATACCAGGATAGAGACCGAGGTTCCACGTACAAGGAGGCCATCGCCGTCAATAAGTATCAAGACGTAGGGATTGCGGTTCTACAAAGTTCAGCAACTCTGAGCCTCCAAACAGGCTGCTGTCCAGCAACCGGTGGTTCCTCTGTTTACCTTGAGATAGTTGTTATCTGACTCAAGGCCCGACAGCGTCTGCTGCATCTCTCTTCTCGAAATGGTGGCATGGTCAAGATCGAGCTCAGCGTTGCGCAGCTTCTGCTTGAGGATTCTGTTTTCTTCTCCAATTGTACGCTCAATCTCTTTGGCATATATCAAAAGGTCCTGTGGAAGAAAGAGACGATTAGCTCAATGAAGCATTTCATCTGGCATTCCGAACTCTAATTCTATGCGAAAAAGTGAAATTCCAGCAGGAACGGAGCGGTGGTTCATCTCGTCGCGCATCGCATGCAAATGGTAATGGGGCGGGGCAGAGACGATGAGGTGAGACACCAAGCAGGCGAGGCATTGTACAGCGCGAAGCCTCCCCAGAGAGCCACGGCGATATGTACCAGACAGGGCCGGATTGGGCTGAGCTACCTAGGCCGATGGAGCTGTCTGGGGAAGAGCAAATAAGGTATGCTTTGCAGCGGCGGGCATGGGTTTGGAATGGAGCTTTGGTCTCTCTGCAGACCAGAAGGAAGCTTAAAGGAAGCCCCATTTGAAGGGTAGGAAACGGGAGGAAGACTCGAACAGGGGATGAAAGGGAAAAGCGAAACCCACCTTCATCAACTGGTCGCTGGCAGCTTGATAACCCTGCAAGGTTTGATAACGGCCGACAAAGTCCATGATTTCGGAGCTCATTGCGACGGGTTTTGCTCTCTCCATGCTCTTGAGGCCGATAGCAGATGGGAAGCGAACGTTGACACCGGGCTGAGAGGAAAGGGAAGGCAAGGGGGACTGGCTCGTAAGAAGGTAGGGAGCAGCAGGGGTTGTATTGGCGTTGGTAGAGAAGGTGGAAGAGGTGGTGGTGGTGCTGCTTTTGGTCGACATTTTGGATTGAGAGACTGGGGCTGGGTGTGACCCGGCCGATGCTGCAGGTGCAGGTAGGTAGATAGGTGGGTGTGGGTGCAGGCGATGTGAGGTGAGGAAAGGAAAGGCAAGGTATCGATGGTAAGGCAGCAAGCAGCAGGTGAGGGTGGACTTGTTGTGCACAAGTGACTGCAAGAGGGTAGACAGCAGGGACGGGATGTCTGCAGTTGCTATTGGTGCTTAGGGGAGACGACACAGGCAATAGAATAAAGTACCGTGCCTGTGCTTGGGTCGCGTTTGGTATCACCAGCCGCCCAAGGCAGATTCAGGGTCGGGGAAGGTAAGATAGGTAGGTACTGTGAGACTGAGGTAAGGTAGGTGTGCGAGGTATGCCTGCTGTCTGTAGGTAGGTAAGGTCGAGCGAGGTGCGTTGCGCCTGCCTGCCTTGTCCTCTTCTTATTCGACCAAATAAACCTAAATACGGTAATCTGCTCTGTGGAAGGTGTCCCTGCTGGAAGGAAAGAGAAGCATGCGGTTCGTGTGTTGATCAGGCTTGCGCGAGTGGCAGCAAGAGCGGCGAAAGTCAGGTAGGAGACGGAAAAAGTTTTATCTGGCTGACCGCGACTCTCCAAAGCAAATTTAAAAAAAAAAAATCAAAAAAAAAAAAATCGTGCGTTCAGCTAATTAAAGGTGACGTGCCTTTGCAAAGAGAGACCACGCGGTGCAGTAAGGACGGGGGACGATAGGTGACCAATTCGAACTTAGATCGCCAAAGGATGCAAAGGGAAAGACGAAGGAGGAAAGGTTAAGGTAAGGTAGGTAGAGTGGTGATGATGCTTGCGCAGGGCTGGATTTGGCTGGGGCTGGAATGCGATGCGATGCGTTATGCGATGCGATATGCGATGCGATGCGATGCGACCAAGGCGTTCCGAGTCGGACAAGCTAACGTAGTCAGGACCTTCACCTCAAGCTAATGCGAGGTTGATGAAAGTAGCGATGGAGGCGAGCGCGATCTAATGTGGACAGCGAGAATGCCTCGAGGCAAGGAGAGTGTAAGATAGTTAAGTGACACGCTGTGAGGCGACGCAAGGCGGTGGTGGTGCAGCAGCGGTGGGAGGTAACGGATGTATGTATGTATGTCTGAGATTGCGAGACCAGGGCTGGGCTGGTCAACGACAAAACCGGTGAATAATTAACGGTCAGACTGAAAAGGCAACCTCGACGAATATCGAACTGGCTTGGTCCAACGTTGGGCGTGTGTCTCGCAGCCGTGCTGTGTGAACGTCCCCGGCGTCCTCGAATTTATAGGAAACGACCCCTGGTCATGCGAATGGTCCAACTGTCTTTTCAACATGCAGATTTCTGTTTCCTGCTTTCTGTTTCTTGCTTAGACGGACGCGCAGAGGAAACAGAAAGGCATGCAGAAAGAGAAAGAGAGGGAGAAAGAAAGAAAGCGGTGAGCCAGAAGCAACCTGCATCTGATTTCCTGCTGGGTCCCGGTACAAATTTTCTGGATGGAGACTGCTGATGAAGCTGGGGAAAAAGGATTTACGGATGGAAGCGATTGCGGGAAAAGGAAAAAGCAATTGTGTGATAAGACGTCAGACACGCCACGACGCGTCCACTGGCGTAGATTGATTTCTTTTCCTCCCCTGGCAGCTTGGTTGGGGGGGAAAAATTCAAAAAATTTAATGCGATGAAAAGATTGCCCACCTATCGTCTCACTTTCTCGGATACGAGTCCGCCCAGTCTTGTCGTCGCTCCCGTCTTTCCTGGGCTAGGTATGGATACCTCGCCTTATTACACTGCGGGTATCCCTGTCACCAACCAACATGATGTTCCATTCACAAGACACATTAATCAAGTATCGATTTGAGGGCATTTTCTTGTTTTGAGTAATAAATCGTTGTAGATTGTTTCCCTCTCACCCCTTTCGGACGCCCGTCCTCAATCTCGCATCGTTGCTATCTCTCCTCCTAAAGTGACCAAATAGGATCGATTGCACTTTGTGAACATGGCGTTTGCAAATGCACATCTGGTCCTGGAACCGGCAAGCAACCGTACCAAGCGAGCAGCGTCTCCGCTGGCGCTAAATCGCATGCCGTGGCCCCGCTCGTTGGGGATCCCCCGACTGCCCTCTGTGCCCTCTGCCACCTAACTGGGTTGCTGACATCTTGACAGGGGACGTCCGGCGTCAACTCAACGACCGTGAAAGTGCACAATCGAGCCCACCAACAAATACAGCCAATGACAATACGCCAAAGTCATGTACTCAGCCGCCGCCACCAAGCGAGCCTCTCTCATCTGCTGTTCTCTTGTGTTTTGTTTGAACACCAATGTCGCCTTGTCGTTTGCTCAGAGTCCTCACACTCCTTTTTGTTTCCAGAGCATTCCCCATTGTCGGCTGATCAAGTCTGGGCCGCCGCCCTTGTCGTGGCTTTCGCTTCTTTCCTGTCAACTAAGCTTCCAAATTGGGTTTCATGCGGTCGTCGGGTCGTACTGGTTTAGAATATTCCACACACTATCGTTCCCAAAATCACCTTCAAACGTCTGTCCGGCTGCCGGTGGTGGCGGCGTCGCTGCCCCCCATGCCGGTAATGATCCGTCCTCCGGTATTCCGTTCAGGTCGTGATAGATGAGATCTCCCATCGGGAAGAGTGGCGCGATCGAGGTAAAGTCCCAGCTATTGGGCATCGTCCATTCCGAGTGCGATGAGGGCAGGGGGTACGAGGATGTCTCTGGTGCTGTTGGCAGCGATGTCGGTGTTGCTACGGTGCTGCTCTTGCTAACTGGCGTGTCTGCTGTGTTCGCCGTCGTTGACACGGAACCACGTGCTGATATGCTGCTGCTACTCTCCGTCGTTGACGCGGGCGTCTGCGCTGCGATACTCGACAAGCTTGGCGGCGGCGCCGGATTCCCTACTGCTTTCTTGAACTTAACGAATATCGCTTGCAAGACTCCTTTGGCGGCCTTTGCCAGGGGGTTTCTCTCTTGCATCGCCTCGAACCTCTCCGTTGTCCAGTGGAAGTGCTGCATGGCGCTTCCTGCCATATCCAGATTCTCTTTCGGGAAGAGGATGTATATTGTCGCCATCAGCACCACGGCATCAAAGCTTCCAAAGAATAGCGAGAAGCTAGTTGCCTAGTCAGTGATGAATCACGTCTCTTACCCATGAAAACTTACTTGCGCCACGACCCTGCGTCGAGACCCTGGAACGTGAGCATTTGGCGATGCAGCATTTCGATGCTCGCCTTGAGCGCTTCGGTCCGGCTCTTTGGTCTGTTGAAGATGTAGGGCCGGTGCAGTGCCATCAAGTTGAACAAGTTCATCTGCGGCAAGTAAAAACGGGCCGATTGAAGCCAGTAGCATGATGGCTCGTCATCCCACCTCCTGTCTGGATTCTCCAGACGAAAATAGGCGGGTGTCGTTTCGTCCAGTTCCATACACATCTGGTGTACACGATCGACCTTGGAATAGTCTTTGGGACACGGGCCATCGTGCTCCAACTCTAGGATCTCCCGCATCGGTCCCACGAGCTTGAATGCCCAGATACCCCTGGTCAATGGCGTCGGGGGGTCTTTCTCATCGTCTCTTGGCGCAATGGGTGTCTTGCGACGGTCCTTTGGTAACGGCGTATCTATCGGCAAACTTGGCGGAAGTATGCGCCAGTCAATGCTACCAGGACGTCCCAGTACTAACGCACAATGAATGTCCCTGTTCGGTGTCAGCCGAGTCATGTCCCGCCATCCTTGTTCGCGGCAGTTGCTCTCACCATGTCATCAGAACCATGTATAACTTGCGTCTCCGCTGAATCAACCACATGTTTTCCAGAACATCTTCAGTCTCACCGCTGACTGGCTGGGGATCCAAGCTATCCCGGTGCATACCGATTTCTTGGGCGTCTCTAATCGCACTACCGATGGCATGCCACTTCATTCGGTGTAAGTTTCGAGAGTCTCTGGAAAAACACACAACAATCACTTACCGACTCGGTTACTTTGGCCATGTATTTGAGAAATGCCGCCCGGAGGAAGGACGCTTGGACCGTCGTCAGGGTGATTTGCCGCTTTCCTAGCAATGACAAAATCCCCACGCCAGACTCGCTGTAGTCTGCGGCCAGATCTTCAAAGGTCATATTCCCAGCATACTTGAGATGCTCGTAGAACTCATGTGACCCTTCAGGAAGGGTCAAAAGAGCCGTGGCCAAAACCTGGAACAGCAAGGCTGGGAACACTCTCAAGTCAGGCGAGAGGCCCTGCGGTCCCGAGTTGGAGAGAACGCTGAAGGGCAGGTTGTTCCACTCGGCAAATTGCTGCATAAAAAGATCCTCTTCCAGGGCGTAGTACTGCCAGTTGAACTCGCGGAAGTAGACCTCAATAAGCTTCTCGATGTAGCCCTTGGCCGGCAGTTGTCTGATCAGCGACTTGTACCGCTCTTTTGTAGCGAATTGATCCTCCATCTGAGTTGCACCGCTCAAATGGGACATGGAGCCGTCGCCATTTGCGCTTTCGATTTTTCTCATGAGGCCGAGTGTTGATGCCCCGGCGTGGGAGTAACCCCAATTCGCGGCGACATTGGATAGGCTTTGGACCTGCGTCATCCTCGAACCCTCGACCTCCGCTTTCCGATGCTCTTTCGCAGTCGGCGCGCCGGTCTCGTACTTGCACGCGTCCTGTTTATTGCGTGACTTACAATTGGCGCAGGGCAAGTCTCGATCACACTACGGCAGCAATGTCAGTCTTGTTGCAGGATAACTTGGCAACGAGGCGCTCGAAATAGTGGTAGACTGACCTTTTGCTTGCGCCGATGGCACTCTGTGCAAGATATCACAACTCTTCTGCGCTTCTTTGGTGGCGGGCGAGCATCTTGAGTTTGGCCATGGGGCAGATTTTGGGTCGGCGCCGGGTTCTGGTTCTGCCCCTCCCGCGCGGACGGCGAGCTTTCGGAGCTGTTGCGCCGGTCGTCGGCCATCGTCGGCCGTCGTGGTAGTCGATTCCTCTAGAGAGTTGGTGGTGAGGAGAACGGGAGGAGTGTATCGTATGCGGGGAGACGCGGCGCGATCTGCGAAGGTGGGCGCGGCGATCGATAAATCGTACGTCGAACGTGTGGGAGCTGTGTCTTTGGATTCCACGCTGGCTTAGAGCGTTGTAGGCCCAGTGGATGGTGCGGTGTTGAGAGCGCGCAGGCCGGCGCAAAGCAGAAAAAAAAAGAAGCAGCAATGAAGCCGGCGCGTGCGCTTTTGGTGAGTCTTTGTCGAGGATTTGTGGTCGGCAGATTTGGTGATTACGGAAGCAAGGTCCCAGTTCTTCTCTACCTTGTCTCCGTCAGGGAAGGAGGTGGAATGGACGGACACGGAGAATATGGAAAAACTGTGTACTTCGTCAGGTAAGGAGGTTTGACGGTATGGACCCGCCACAAGCAAACTCGATGGACAGGGCCTCCTCTTGCTGCATTGGCCAGGTGGGCAGTAGAACAGGTGGGAAGAAGAGTTGAGACAGGCAAAGCAGAAGAAGCGAGACCGACAACAGCGGTGGGCAGGGCCAAGAGATGCGAAAGCTGGGAATAGGACAGGCGAATGTGTATGAATGATCCGTCTTGCAAGGTATGTAAATGTGCCGGGGCCCAGAATGGCAGGCAGTCTGCTTCTGCTTTCTGCTTCTTACTTCCTACCAACCACGACGAGAGGTGACGCTGCGGCAAGGCATGTGGCCGGTCGACAGTGGGGCCGGGAGACGGTCTAAGGTAGGGTAACCCAGGAGCTCGGGGCAGAGTAAGGTACTTCAATGGTAAGTGGAAATCCCTGAGGCCTTCTTAACCCCGAGAAGCCGGCCATCCATCATCCATTGCACCACCTCACTCACTGGCACTACACACCATCAAACCAGGCGCGGTGACACGAGTATCGCGGGAGAAGATTTAAGGTATGCGACTTGCAGACCTGCCACGGCAAACTCGCATTGGACAAGGCAAGACAAGATACGACGGGAACCGACGAGACCCAATGCACACACACACAGGCATGCCGTCAACGACGCAACCGCGAACGAGCGGCCGCCTCAAGGCAGCATACTCTGCTTTCAAGCACAAGCTAAGATAGCTTCCTGGTTTGTGATCGCTTACATGCAGCAGGTTGTAGCAAAACGTGGGGTGGCCTGGTCTTGCTGCTTTGCCGACATGGAGTGGCCCCTCAGATTATGGGTGACCTTGGATCGGCGACCAACCTAACCAACACTCGGATTGCGAAAGGGAAGGGGAAATGGGGGTAAAATTAAATTGAGATGGTCAACAAATGGAAGAAAAGAGAAGACCACACCACACAGACATTGTCACGTCAAGGCGGCGAGCGTTCCGCACCGTTCGCGTTCGCAGCAGAGGCGGCGGCGGCGGCGGCAGCAGCAGCAGCAGCAGCATGCCCACACACTCTTTGAAGCATCAGAGATGACAACGTGGAGGGGTAGGGCCGGCAGGGCGCCGACAGGGCACGCACGCCGAAAATGCTATAGCCGTCACCTACCTGATCTGACCTACGCCGTACCTTACTTAGCACATCCTGCTCCCGTCCTCCAGCAAGTCCCGAGTCCAATGAGCCGTACCATGCCTCGTGGGGTCGTCGCACCACTGCCTTTCAGGCTTCGAAGTCGTCTGGAAAGACAGGACGACCACGGCCGCCGGCTGCCCCTGCGCTGCGCGTGGCAACTGCCCAGGTGCACTTTAAATTCTCCATGCGTCTTGAGGGATTGGGGAAAATAGCCTTCTTGAATCTCGCAGCTCATCGAGAACATGTTGCATCCCGGGGAACCTTGTCCTCCTCTAGCCCGTCGCCTCAGAACACTACTATGTACCACAGTACCTCCCTCTTCTTTCTCGTCGGCCCTTTCGTCTCTAACCTCAACCGCCCACCACCACCACCGCCAATGATGCTCATCCACCCTCACCCTGCACCTGCAATCTCGTCCTTCCCTCCTCCATCTACGGCTGTGAGGTCATGCCCTTCCCTGTTGCCTCCCCGGGCCTGCACCGTGCCATGCCATGCCATGCCTCGCCGTACCACGCCAATGCCACATGCCACACATGCCATGCTGTCCATGAGAACCTTCCCGCCTATTGCCTGTCAAATCGGGTGCGAAGGGCGAGTAACGGCTTTGAGGGTACGTCACTTTCGATTGCCGATCACCGACGTCGAGTAAGAACGCTCTACTCAGTCTCCCACCAACGCGCTCGATGAACCGGTGCGATGTTCACGATCGAGGGCAAGTCCCATGGGGCTGGCGATCGAGAAGAACAGCAGTAGATGTGTTGCAGACGTGGTCAATTGAAAGATATATCAAGTGTGACAGTCCACCACCTAACAAGCAATGACTCTTCAACGCCAACCCAACCCCTTTTTTGTTGGTCCATGCCGGATCACCGAGATCCCGTCTAAGAAACCGTCCCAGTGCCCCTAGTGCTACTCCCTAATCTCTACGATACGAACATCATCGCAGACCGACATGCATAAACCGACGACAACAGTGTTTGGAGACATGGCCGAGAGCCACGAAGAAGGGATGAGACGACTGGAGGAGTAAAAAAAACACACAAAGATGAACACGCCTGGGTATTGGTGTGATGTGAGGAGGAACCGCCTACGCTACCCGAGAGAGATACGCCTTCCAGGCCTTTCTGCGGTATCTCTCAGCCTCCGACTGAGGATCGCCTGCCTTCAAGATGCCGCGACCGACGATGACGATGTCCGTTCCACAGAGCTCGACCAGTTTCTGAGGCGTGTTGTACTGCTGGCCCTTGCCGTCCCCGGCGACACCTCCATTCTCTTCGTCACCTTCGGGCGGCAGCTGGCATCCAGGGGTCATGTGGATGAAGGCATCTTCGGGCTCGGTGTTCAGACTTTCCTGGGAGACAAATCCCATTACGAAGCTCTTGTGCTCCCTGGCGGCCTCCACACAAGCTTGTGTGTACTCCTTGTTCATGAAATTTCCAGCACTCGACATTTGCGCCAGGATCAGAAGACCACGGTCCATTGGGGCCTCCTCAATGCCGGCGTAGAGAATATCGTCACCGTGCGACTCATTGCGGGGAAACCTCGGGGAAGGGGCAGGTTCGAAATGTTGCGTCAAGGTGGTAATGGAGACGATGCTGCCCTTGCGGCCATTAACGTCGGCCGGGCGAGGGGCGCCAATGGTATGTTCCGCAGAGTGCAAGTCGTTCGCCTGGTCCTCGTCGTAGTCGTCGAAGCTTTCTGACCTGGGCGTACCGACTGTGACCGATGTCCTTACTTCGTAAGGGTAGCGTTCCCTCCACCTAGCTGCGGCCTCGGCAAGAGAAGTAACGGCAGCTTTGCCAGGGACCATGTTGACGTTGATGATGTGCGCCCATTCAACTATCCGTGCAGAGCCCGCGACGTATTGCATCTGTACCGTATTTCCAATGTCACCAAACTTGCGATCCTCGAAGATGAGGAAGCCGTGTTTACGGGCCAATGCGCCAAGCTTGGCTCCAGTGCCCGTCTGCGGGTTGAAATCCCATCCTGCAACAATATCGTGATGCGTCTTCAGAACGACGATGGACGGACCGACCTTGTCGGCCAGGTAGAGAAGTTCTCGGGCGGTGGGGACGTCAGCGCTGAGGCACAGATTGGAGGCCTTCAGGTCCATCAATCGCAAGAGGTATGTCGTTAGCGGATGAGTGGCCGTCTCGGCGCGACTGGCGAAAGTCGCCTTGAGCGTGCTGTGTGAAGTCATCCTAGCAGATGGCTTGTGTCTTTTAACACGACGATCGGGTCTGGCGCAGTGCAGGTCGAATTGAGGTGTTTTTGGTGAGATGCCGGGAAAGTTGTCCCCAAAGATAGAGTTTCCGACTGCGACAGGAAAGCGGAGCGGAAGTTCTTTGACAAGCGCAGTGGCAAGGCTGGTGAGGGGGAAGCCAGCAGCCAGCAAAAGAGAGGGGAAACTGAAGGTGACGACGAGATGGCTGATAGGTAGCGCCGAATCAGGGCTTTTGTACAGACCGCGGCGGGATGCGGCGAGGGCGGGGATCGCGCGAACGAGACAATGGGAGAAGCGTTGGAGGAGTAAGGTATTGTGCGTCTGTATTCTTGACCGTACGTTGGGTTTTGTCGTAAATCGAGGGAGAGACAGACAAGACCCGACCAGTGGACGAGGGCAGAAAAGGGTAAGGGAGAAGGAGAGGATAGCAGGTAGCTAGGCGGGCTGGACTTTTTAGTGAAGACTAAAACAGACAATAAGTAGTTAGTGAGGTCGATGTGTGCAAATGTGACTGTGGGGGTGCGCTTAAGATTAGATAGACACTGAGGGCGGCGGGCTAAAAATTGGACGAGGGGCCAGAGGGGGAGGGGGGACGAGGAGAGATGGGCATGGAGGGGTTCGCGTTCGCTCTCTGCATCACAATTGCCTAGAGAGGGAACGGAAGTGGAGGGGGGGTTTTGGCGGGAACTTGACAGAGAGAGAGGCAATGGAGATTCATGGAAAGGGGTGCGTACTGCGGTAACTGTCAAAGATCTCGGCAGAGAGAAGAAAAAGAGAGCGGCGAAGGAGGCAGAGAGAGTGAGTGGGTGAGAGAGACGGAACAAGAGCAAGAGACAGTGCGTGTATGTTGAGTGGGTGTGTGGGTGTCACAGAGAGAAAACGGGAGGCCAACAACAACAACAACAACAACAACAACAACAACCAAAGTGCATGGGGCAAATGCCAGCAAATCAGTCAATGAGACGAAACGAGAGGAGACGACGAGGATCAATATAATTGGGACTCAAGAGGAGAGAGAGAAAAATAACTAAAAGCAGAGCCCCTGACCTTTGACCAGCCCCGTACCTAGGTAGGGAATGAATTGCCCCCAAGCAAGGTAGGGTATATCCGTACTGTAAGGTATTCAGAGTAGTACCTACTTCAGGTATTCGTCTACATACCTTACCTGTAGCATTATGGAGTTCTCCGTAAAGCACTCACCCCACGCAA